ACACAGAAACAGCCAAAGCAGATCTCAAAACAACTATGCCTGCAAAATATGCAGTTTTAACAATAAGATGAGGGAGGAACTTCATTTGAACTCCCATATATTGTGAAGTTTCTCTTTACACACTTCTATCATGTACAGATCCCAACTGAAACAAGAGGCATCTTTCAATGACAGTCATTACCACATTTGAAACTCCCCAAGAGTGTTTACTACCAGGAAAAATGTTATTTATCAATATTATCACCATATAGTTTTAACGATCCTAAAGCAGAATGCTAAACAGAAACAGAAAAACTAAGTAGGAAAAAATATCAAACTAGCCAAATCATAAAAAGAGAGTCACTTCAAAGCATGACAACAAAACAAGAGATGTAACGCAAGTACTTGTTCTCCATTCGAATAAAAAGGAAATTAGTTTTAAAAGCTAAAGACCTGACACAGCAACTACCTAAATTAACAGTTCCCAGCCTTGGTTCTTTAATCTCAACCACTGGCACTGCCGAGTGGGGATTACAATGCACACTAGTCAGCATCTGAGTTTAAAGTTGGAAGGAATTTTAAAAGCTAATTGAGAATCAAGTACAGCTTTATTAGATGAATCATGTTTAGCCATCAAACAAAAATGCAACTAAACCACAATAGCATTAATACAGAACAACTTTCAGGTGCTAGCAACTCTACAGTCAAAAGTTTCTGCACTATCTCTTGACTTAGAGAAAGGTTCTTTTAAGACAACACATTGAATGTTATTTAATTGAATTTTCTTTCTTAGAGAGATTCAATGATTAAGACCAACCAATTGTGCTTTTTTTATTAGCTACAAATAAGCCAAAGGCTTAATGAGAGCAGAAATCTGCACAGGAATCCACTTTTATCTATTACTTTTGCATAGATAAGCCTGACCAATATTTTGTTTCCATTTGAAAAATGGATATTGTAGCTGCTGCTTGGCATTACCGCAATTAGATTTCTGGATAAAGCATGTGGATAAAAGCTTTGTACTGCTTTTCTTGGTAGTGGTGATGGGGACAATTAAGGACACTAAGTAGTTTTCTGGATTGCTGAAAGGGAAGTTTGTACTTCCCTTTCAGCAGTTTGTACTCTGAAGTGAATGCCAAATGACTATAATCTACCATTTTTACTGTCCTTTGATTTATATAAACCAAATAACGCTATAGTTCTGAGCACTCTGGTGTGCAGGACTACTACTCCCAAAACTCTGAGCCCCTGCGGCCACTAGAAGTTACTATCTCGCACATCTGGAAAGAATAACATATTATACACATTGTCCAAACCCCTTCCAGAAGAGTCACATTTCAAACAGTCATTTCTTGTGGCATCTTGTTCAGCAATAATTCAACAGGTATTGTCCCCAAACCCCTCTATATCCACGTGGCACACAAAGTTGAGTAAAGACCAATCTCCAATCATGTCACTTTTCCATCTCTGGGAGGCAATGCTTTTGGCTATGGTCTTCTAATTGTCAGCATTCTAAGTATTAACCACATAGAAAGCAGAACTGTGAGGCAGGCAGATTCCTCAAACAACAATTTTATTGGAGAGATCATATTGGCACAACTGGTGAAAACCGACTCTGAAAGTTCCAGCGGTTTTCCCCTAATTAAAAAGTGAAAGCCCCCCCCCCTTCCCCAAACAATCAGTCACATTGTCCAATCAAGGTGCTGGCCAGTTGCCTGGTTACTTCACTCCTCCTTTTTCTAGCCACCTGTTCGAATGTCCTTGGTTCCCACAGGAAGCTATTTTGTTTTGGCTACAAAACCCCCATCTAACTATGTCCTCCCTCCGTATCCCTTCTTCACGTCATGGCAATCCTGAAGCCTCCAAATGGCCCCAGTCAGGTTCGCTTCAGAGTTGACACTAACCTTTCCAAAATGGAGGATAACCAGCTGATTTTTCTAGCATGAATAAAGTAGTCTGGAAAACTGTAGTGGGGAGAGGTGGTCCTGCAGCCATTAGGTGTTACAACACTTGGTATGTTAAGACCAGACTTTTAATCAGCCCTCGGAAGCTGGCAGGTAATCAGTGCAAGTAATCATGTATGACATTTGAAAGTCTGATATTTGAAATATGTGCGTTGTAATATGATTTTACAGCCATATGTGCATTTTAATATGATTTTCTCAAGATGATAATTATTACTATCCACAGTTTCCACACAATAGTTTCTAAAATGCTCAACTGACTTGGAAAATAACACTCCAACCTAGGGAAAGCACAGATTATGTATCAAGTAAAGAAATTTTAAAAATAAACCTAAACCAGTAGAAACCTTCGAGACCGCCTGCTGCCACATACCTCCCAGCGGCCAGTAAGATCCCACAGATTGGGCCTCCTTCAGATGCCGTCAGCCAGACAGTGTCGGCTGGTGGGCCTCGGAGGAGAGCCTTCTCTGTGGCAGCTCCGACTCTCTGGAACCAGCTACCCCTGGAGATCCGGACCATACCNGTGTGTGTGTGTGTGTGTGTGTGTGTGTGTACACATCTCTCTGTGTATATGAATGACAATTAATGTTCTTTTCTTTAAAAAGAATTGGATTTGTCAAGAAAGTAACATCTCTGAGCAAGTTGAAAAATCAATCTGATATTGAAGATTCTGATTTCATTGAGTGAGGAAGGGATGGATGCTAAGAAACGTGGTGCCTGATCAAACAAAAATGACAGTAGATTGACAAGTCAAATCCTGAACAAGGAAGATTTTTGAGATGAAGATAGAAGGGATAAAAAGAAAGGTGCAGAATAAGGAGCTATAGAAACTAAAGATCAAGTGTATCTGACAGGAAGAACATGAAAAGAAAAGAGCTTTGAAAACTATGGAGTATAAGAGAATCCTTTTTTCAATATTCAAGGAAAATGAACAGCTCTTTGGGATCACTAATCATGCTACGTGACCTAAGATCTAGTAAATAACCCCCATAAACAAGGTGGCAAAAACACACATTAAATCAAAGTCAAATAATGTGATATGTTTTTAACAACATGGCTCTAGCAAATATTATTGTGAGCCAAGCAAAGGATACATTTAAGATGAAGCCTACTCAACAATTCCTTAGAATCAGGATTAAAATTACCCTCTATTTGCTGATGTCAATTTAGTAAGGTTGACAGAATAACTGGACTTGAAAACCGACAGTGTAGCATCAGGTTTATGATCATAAACCCAGAGTATGATTTGCAATAAGTCTTGGTTCTCTTAACAGAAGGACCAGTACAGAAATAAAATAAAGACAAAATGTTTGCTATTGAAGTTCTTCCAGAAATCTCTATAAGCAGTAATAATTCTTGCTGATAAACAGTATATATTTGAAAATAAAGTTGTAAAACATAGTCACCGTGCACTGATTTTACTGCAACATGTTGGATTTATGATAATCATAATTCTACTCTTATTGCAGCTGGTGAGTATTAATGCACTGTGATCTATATATAGTTAAGACTTATTATTCTAGGCAAACAAATATGAACAGATGTATGCTTAAAGCCTTTTTAACAGGATATTCCACTTTCAAGGACAAAGTGTTTGTTATTATTATTTAACTATTTTTAAATATTTTCATTCACAGTGTTTTTTAACTACAAGCCACAATTACATTGCCTATTGGTTGGAAAAAGAGAAAGCAGTAGCATAATCCGGATAGTCCCTGATTTACAACAGTTTGTTTGGTGACTGACTGAGGTTACAACAGCAGTGAAAAACGTGAGTTATGATCCTTTTTCACACCATTACAGCATCCTCTTAGTCACATGATCAAAAGTAAGATACTTGACAACTGACTCATGACAGTTGCGGTGCCCCCGGTCATGTGATTTGTGACCTTCTGACAAGCAAAGTCAATGGAGAAGCCAGATTCACTTAACAACCATGTTAGTAATTTAACAATTTCAGTGATTCATTTAACAAATGTGGCAAGGAAGGTCATAAAATGGAGCACAATTCACTTAACCAATGTCTCACTCAGCAAACAAATTTTGGGCTCAATTTTGGTCGTAAGTCAAGGACTACCTGTAAACCAGATTAAATTGAGAAATTAGAGAAATCCTTTCTCTAAAAGCAGCCCATTAACAATATTCAACAAACGGNTACCCCTGGAGATCCGGACCATACCCTCTCATGGCCTTCAGGAAAGCTGTAAAAACCTGGCTGTTCTGGCAGGCCTGGGGCTGTTGACCTCACTGTTGAGGTCCAGCCCCGATCAGAATGAATGTACGAGGTGTTGCTGTTTTTAAACTGTTTCTTTCGTTATGTGTTTCGTTATGTGTTTTTTCTCTTTATTTTTGTAAGCCGCCCAGAGTCCTTCGGGATTGGGCGGCATATAAATGTGTTTAATAATAATAACAACAACAACAACAACTTCTTTAACAGTAGTAGGGAAGCCAGGGCTATGGCCAGATAGATGACTTTGAGCCAGTTCTTATCCCTAGACTGGGAAGTCAAAAATATCTATCCATCAACACGCAATGCACCATTGTGACAGATTAGTTTATAACCTTCAAATGAGACTTTCACCCTGCAGTGCATTGATTCATATAATACATACACGTGCACACTCATGCATACAAATGCTTTTAAATGTATCTGCATATTGTTCACACACGCACATCCAATTGTCACAAATTGTTGAAACACAAATTATTGAGTGAAAATACGATGAATAAAGTAAACTTAACAGGATAAATTCTATAATATCAAGTCTGGTCATGGAACTAATGGGGGGGGAATATATGGGAAACACATAAGGAGCCAAATTGAATGTGCTTTCTCCATTAGTCGTAAAACCCAAATGAACATGTCGCTGTTAAGAAGATGTAGCACGGATAGTTTCTTCTTAGAAATGATAAGCATGCATTCATTTCTAAAATGGCAAAAAAACCAACCAACCCCAACACGCTAAACTAAATCCCAAGCAAAAAGAAAAAAAGGAATGGAGAACAGATGGTGTTTCAATGGCACCCTCATGCAACAAGGGTTTCTAAAGTACATACCTAGAAAGGTTCTCCTGGGAGCTGTTTTGATTTCTTCATCCTTACTATCTGCAGCTATATTAAAATATTGAAGAGAAAGCAAAGACAAAACAAAGGTAGTTTGACTCCTCATAATAGCAAGTGCTGAAAGTGCTCTAAATTAGCTTAAAGTTAAGGTAGCTTGATGGCAGTCACCATGCTAGAATACTTCTTTATATTTAAAAAAGAAACCAATTTAATTTGCTGGATTCCGATATTAGTCATTCATATACTGTGCTCCCCAAAATTTAGAAAAGCAAAAGAAACATTTAGAAAGCATGAATGTACAAGAACCGTAGCTTAAGCAAATATTGAATGCATAGATCAGTATCAAGAAGTTATATTAGTTATCTATTTTACACCGCATTACATGTTTTTTCGCTAAGAGGATTGTGAAAAAAAAATAAGGAAAGGTTTAGCTTAGCTAAAATCAAAAAAGCATGAAAGAGTTCATCTGAGACTGTTGATAAATGATGCTTTACAATCCAGCCAATAATTCAAGAGATAAATATGTACAACAAGCTTATATGAAATGTCAATAATTGAATTACAATATGAATAACAAATAAAATCTTAAGCTATATTCCCTTAGCCAAAGTGGTATAAAGCTACAAAACCAGCAAGTGTTTTCGTTCTCTGTAGCCAACAAGATCTATTGTTGGATAAAAGCAGCTAAATTCTGTTCAAAACAATTCTCTCTAAATTTTGCAATTCTAGGAAATTGCTATATGATGAATGTTGAAATAAAGTCAACAATTGCCTTCAATCACCACATATAATCTTTTACACATACATACACACCAACCCAAACATTCACATTTCCAAATTCATTTATAAAAATAAAAAGCATGGATTCAAAACAAAACAGAACATGACCAAAAAATACTGCATTAAAATTAGAAACAGACATTTCAGAAAAACCTCTAATGTATACTGCTCACTATGGTAATCATAAGAAGGATATATTTAAGTGAATTACTCTTCTTATGCAGGACAGATTTCATATACAGGCCTGTATAAACAGGTCAGAAATGTAGACTATATAAAGTGGCTCTGAGCTACAGATTGGGTTTAATGTCATAAAGCAGGTGACTCAAGAAAAAGTCCAAGGATGAAGGCTCATTATTGACTAAAAAGCAAAGAGGAGACTACATCTTACTCTTTAATTAAAAGCTTATGGAAAGGTTCAATAATTTGCAACAATTTAATAAATATTCCAACCAGCACAGAGCAGACTGTTTACTGATCTTCTGAGATTTTCCCATTAAAGATTTGTTTCATGTAATACATTTTTCTGTGCAACTGCCCATTCTGTCAGTGTTAGGCAATGTGAAAATCATTAATTCCCCCCCCCCCCAGAATCAGCTGCATGCGTAAAGGAACCTGGTTGTATAGACTTGGGCTATCAAACTTGAATTCACTGAGAGCCACATGAGGGTTGTGTTTCACCTGGGGGGTGGAGGCAGGTCAGCATCAGGGGCACCTGTGGTGGCCTGGGTGGGGATCCACTTTTGCTAGTAGTTTATTTTGCTAGTGCTCTAGCAGAAAAAAACAGAGCATGGGGGGTGCTGTACATTGCCCCTCCCAAGCTCAGGCTGGTCCACTGTTTCCAGGGCAGCCCCGCGGACCAGATTTAAGCACCCTGCAAGCTGGATCTGGCCTGCAGGCCTTAAATTTGACACCCCTGGTATAGACATTGAAGCTAAGTATTCAATAAGAAAATGGAAAATATGAACTTAAGAGAATTAATAGAATGATGCACATACAGATGGATGGACAGATGGAAAGAAGGAAATCTAGCAAGTCTGCTTTCTTTGCATTGCCATATCTCACTATCTAACATTAAGATGTATCGACTTCCAGAATTCCCCAGTGGGAATTCTGGAAGTTGAAGTAGTCACATCTTAATGGTTTCCAAGTTTGAGAAAAACTGTCGTATCTGAAGAGGAAGGGGAAAAAAGCATACACAGGTCTGTAAAGTATACATATCTTTGATGGGATCATGACATCAGCTCTTTCTCTCATTTCTTTTATCGACAAACTTTATTATCACACAATGAAGAACGAACACACCCAAAAACTGAAGAATGAGAAAACTATAGAATGTTTTTCTACTGCAATGAAAATATATGCACATATGATAGTCGTACCCTATTCCCATATTTTATATTTGAAGGTCACACATAACTTGATGGAAGCCATCTGAACCTCTAACAGATAAAAGTGCTGACTAGCTTGTCCTGCAATTCATCATTTAATATATCACAGTGTTTGTTATCACAACCAGACATTCATGATAGATGGAAGGACTGATCCATAAAACGATGGAATGTTACGCTTCTGAGCAGAACAATGAGTACAAAAGGATATTTCAGTGGATGCCACATGAGTTTAGAGCAATGAATGTGACAGCAAGAAGCATATGAGTATGTAGCAGCAATCGGGAAGATCTTTCTTCTATAACTTTGCAAAGGAGAACAGAACCAACTCTATAGTTCACTACTCGAATAAATAGGATCACTGGATGAGAATTGCTTTAATTAGGATTTGGCACAAATAAAAACAAATATTTTCACAATAAATCACATTTCCTCAATTGGAACGCTCTTTAAATCTTGAACTATCAAAACAGAGTTTTGCCAGAATATAATGTAGCCAAAGAAAAGAGAGGAGAAATAATGTTAGACAGAACCAATATGCAATGATTTCAACCAACCTGAAAAGGAGCGTCGTTTTATATTCAATTCATTGGCCACACGTACTTCAGTGCACAGTTTCAGCATCAATAACATTGTGGCTATCATTATAATGCTTTGCAATAGTAAGGGTGACTCAAAATGTCTCCCAAACCTAAAAGAAGAAAAAGAGATATCAAGTGGTTGAATACTAAAAGAATAAAAGACTTTCATAAAACCAAATTCCAGGATGGATATAAATTAATTTACTGATATTCAAATTCTTCCAAGAGCCGATCACCATTTTAATTCTAGGAAGGGAACCAGAATATAAATCTATTAACTAGATAATCTTTTGACAAAGTCACGTCAGATGCCAAATAAACTGCTCTGGATAATTATAGAGAAATATAACAAATAATGGATAACAAAATTAACAAATTAAGAGTAACTTTTCCCTGAGTTTCCTAACCTTACACAGTGAAGAAAAGATTGTAAAATAGTGGTACTGGACATTCTTAATTTTAAATACAATTTTTTTTGCCAATGAACCTAAATCTATACATTGAAAATCAGTTTCTCCCACTAAAACCACTAGAGGGAGATCCATGCTCCCCTTAAGCCTTAACTGATCATTAATAAAACCATACACCTGAAACAGCTTCACAAAACATTTTCAAATATATTGAACTAATACTTAATATTCATGTTTACTATCATTAAAAAAAACTTGGCCTTGTAATAGTCATTTGCACTATGGCAGCTGTGACCAATTGTGCTTACTTCAGCATCAATTCCAATGGTCTAACCTCTGCAGTTGATTAACAAGGCATGTGTTCAGGCAATCCAAAAATGAAACTATAATCAGTAATTAAGAAATACAGTTTAAAGAACACTGGAAGCTAACAGCACACAAAGCAATAAAAGACTCACTTGATATTTAAGAACTTAAACTGTCTCTGGGTCATTCAAGTTTGGGGAGACAAAGTGAGTTCCAAGAAGGGCAGTGGTGAACTTAGCATCCTGGCTTATTCCCATAGCAAAAATAGAAAGTTTAGCAAATGCAGCATTTTCACATATATACATGCAAATGTCCTAAAGGCAAGTACCTTTTAGATTTAGATTTAGATTTAGATTTAGATTTA